TCCAAACTTCTACATTCGATGCCGAAACCTATCAAATCACGTCCGATTGACCTTAAATTTTGCACATAAATCACATTCGAAATTGTGGACCTACTCCAACTTTCGGAGTCGGAATCCGACCCCGATATCAAAAAGTCTACTTCGGGTCAAACTTCTCAAAAAAACCTTCAAATTTCTATCTTTAGCCAAATAACTCCAAAATGACCCACGAACCTCCGAATTCACTTCCGATCGCGCTCCCAACACCAGGATCACCATACGGAGCTATTCCCATACTCAGAATCCCAAACGGACATTGATAGCACTGAAATGCACTTCAACCCAAACTTATGAAATTCCTCCAAAATGCTAACTTCCACAATAGGTGCCGAAACGTTCCCATGTCTTCCGAAACCCGATCCGGACATACGCCCAAGTCCGAAATCATCATACGAACATGCTGGAACCTTCGAATCCCGATTCCGAGGTCATTTACTCAAAAATCCAATCTTAGTCAATTCTTTCAACTTAAAGCTTCCAAAATGAGAATTCTCTTTCCAAATTAACTCCAAACTTCCCGGAATTCAATTCCGACCATGCCCACGAGTCATAATACCTAAAATGAAGTTGCTCATAGCCTCAAATTGCTGAATGACGTGCTAGAGCTCCAAACGACCGGTCGGGTCGTTACAAGTAGAGTCTTGCAGATCGGTATGATGACGTCCATACCTATCTTTGAGAGGCTACAGGACATTTAGGATATACTTCCCATATTTCTTTCCTTATCGTGCGACATTGATTCAGCTTGAAGCATAATCCTTTGAATTCCTTCCATGCATTCGTATGCGCACTTGAGCGCTCGGTATCAGTTGTGCATCGATAGCTTGTGATTTCCTGGATAGATATTAGTTGGCTTACCTAGCGGGTTGGTTTAGGTGCCATCAATACTAGTGGATTTTGGGCCGTGACACATTATATCCTATTGACGACACGTAGTAGCCTTCGAAGGCCTCCTTAATGTCGACTTGGTCCATATATAATTATGGTAATTTTAGCCCATACAGTTAGTCCCTCTGATTGTTGAGGTCGTCCTTGTGGGCGAGTTCAATGAGTGGATAACAACGGTCGTGGTCGTTGTGAAAAATAGGTGATATGGCATTTCGTGGACCGAATATCTCAAATCTTAAATTTCCCGGGTGATTTAGTGGAACTATCTTATCAAGGAAAAAATGTGATGTCATGATGTCATTCGTCATAATGACGCCTATTCCCGACGCGCGCATCGATTCACGCGGCCCCTAATTGGCTCTACTGTTTCGATTCTGGTATTAATCATGATGAATCATTTCGGGTTCGGTGCTTCATCTTTATAAATAGGGCTTGTTTTACCAAAACCCAAACTTTACATTCTTTAGACTCTCCTTCGAATTTTCTTCTCTTGCTTCATAACTGTTCTTCATATTTCCAGTTTTACTCTCTTCACTTTTCTTAGCTTCCATAGCCATGTTGAACATTCCTTTTGATATGAATGAGGAGAACCACCCCATTCTGTTGGCTTTTGTATTTCCCATTCATGGGGAAGATACCATCACGGCCGCTGAAGAGGAGGCTCTCCCTTCAGTGGAGGAGATCATCCCCCGTAACCCTGATACTAAACCTGATCTTCAATAGCCACCAGAGGTGATGACCAAGCGCTTGGCTGAATTCAAATCCAAGTTTGGCCTTCCGGACCATGTGGAGCTAATTCCTGCTAATAACGACAAAGTGCACGTCCATCGTCCTGGGTATTATGCTCTTTATGCCTACTCGTTCGCCATCGGCTACTCATTCCCCCTCTTTTCGCTGGTGGAGGAGTTTTGCCGCCATTATAAAGTTTGCGCTGCTCAACTTGCTCCCTACATTCATAAAGTGATTAAAATACCATCGAAGTTTGCCGAACTGGACGTGACTTCACGGTGCGACATTTGATGCATCTGTTCGCGCCCAGCTTTTATCGAGGAACAATGTTGAACCTTCGATAGGGGGCAAATGTTTGGTGGTAAAAATGGATAATAAAGGTAGTCAGCAATTCTGGCTCGACTATTTCTTCATAAAGATCGAGGCCATCGTGGCCGATGTTACAGGTTTCCCTAAGGCCTGGAACCATACTCGTAAGTGCTCGTGCTCTTGATTCTACCTTTTTAAATATTTGTTCATTTCGAGCTTGTCGAATAATCCTCCTTTTTCTACAGCTACCGGTCGACCTCTTTAGTTGGTGATGCATCTCGCCGACTGGGATCAAGCAAATTCTCCCCTGTATCGCGGGGATTTGTGATTGCCCGAGCTTATTTTAGAAGTTCAAACCGGCCCTCCCCTCGATAGGTAATTTCCTTCTTCTGGTCGACGTCGCACTCGAATTGGTTTATGTTATCGTGCTTACTTTTGTGTTTTCTCTAGGTTCCGTCAGGCTGGCTAATGCGGGCTTTAGTGGACCTGGGCGTTCTCAACCCCTCGCTAAAGTGTTCCTGCCTTTGTTGTTGAGTAGTTCCTTGAGATGCCCTTGCTGCAACAAATTTGCTACCTCCAGTCTTAGAGCGATGCAATCTTTTATTTTGTGTCTACATTCTTGGTGGAACTCGTAGAGGACGTCAAATTTTCTGGTGCCTGGGTTGAACCTCATCTTTGGTGTCCATTTTACCTTTGTTCCAAGCTTCTCAAGACCGTAGACCATCTCTGTAGGTGACACACAAAAATTGTGAGCAGATAGTAAGTGGGACATACCTCGATCGTTCTGTGAGTGCCTGACCTCGGCCTAGACGGCGTCTTCATAACAAAAGGAGGGAATAAGTGTCCTGACATAGGGCTTGTTTTGTTCTCTACCTGGCCGAGATAATGGATGGTCTATCCTTGTATTATCCATGCATTCTTTCCTGAGCTCGAATTGTACCGAGGTGAGTCGTCGAGTTGGTCCATTGAGTTCATTGTCGTCTGCTATGACCTCAACACAGTAGGCATTATCGATTTCGTCTCAAGTGGCCGGCGGGTACTTCATTAAGCGACTCCGTAGCTTTCTGGTTGCCCTCGAACCATCTCTACTCAACCCATTCTGAAAGGCTGCCACGACCATTCCTTCGGGGACGTTTGGCAAGGTCATCCTCACCCTGTTGAATCGGGTGAGGAAGTCCCTCAATCCCTCTCCTGGGATTATTTGATGGCGAAGATATCGTTCACCCTTGTCTCAGCTTTCTCGGCCTCGACATGCGTCATTACGAACTTATCGATCATATATTCGAGCATTTCTATGGAATAAGCTGGCAGTTGTGAGTACCACGTCAATGCCCCTCAAGTGAGTCTCACCGAACTTTTTCAGGAAGACAGAGGATACGTGCTCTTTGGTGAGGTTGTTGCCTTTCACGGTGGTGATGTAGTGGGTTACATGATCTTCAGGATCGATCATCCCGTCGTAGATTCTGAGATATGGGGGCTTCTTGAAGGTCTTTGGTATGGCATGTGGAGCCGCTTCTTCTCTCTACGGCTGTTCCACAAACCTGTCGGCATCTATTTTTGGTAATAATTTGGGAGCGCCTGGTATTTTGTCTACCCGTTCTTGGTGCTCTTTCATTTGATCCCTGAGCGCCCTGTTCTCATTTTCCATCTCTTCCATTCTTTTTAGCATGACGGCGAGGATGCTGTCTTCTGCACTGTCAGTAATAGTGTGAGTTTTACCTGAAGTCGGAGGGTCTGATTAGTCGTCTTGTTCATTCCTGCCTCGTGCTGCATAGACTCTTGTGGTTTCTGTGGTCATGCATGAGGCTTGTTTACTGAGCACACTAACCAGAGTATCAGTTAGCCATGCTTCAAGGATCTTTTTCATAGCGGGTGGCGTCCCCTCTCCCGTGGACGTGGAGGCCCCTTTCCCGTTTGGTATTGTTGTGCTGCAAAAAGGTGCGGGCGACCTTTCTCATTTGGGAGAGGCTGTAGGCGTTACCTCCTCATCCTGGGTGTCATAGCCTTCGTTGATTACACCCATGAAGTTGAGGGGAACATTATATGTTGCCTTCATTCCTTTTCCTTGGTCACCTGTCATGGAGATTTTTGTACGCATAGAAAAAAAAGGATAAACTTTGTGGCTTGTTAGATTAGCAAGTCACGTGAGTTACAGGTCTAAATAGAAACTAAAATATTTGCTGAGAAGATCCCCATATACAGCGTCAAACTGTATGACCCAAAATTTAGATCTAGGTTTATACAATCAGATTTTATAATAAAGTAGGGTTAATCTTAGCCAATATTAATATCCTAAAGATAGACCAAATATTTTCGTATTGAGATCCCACGCATGCTATTGAGTAGTAATAAATAACAACAATAATGATATGATCAATGATTCAAGGATATGGAAGATAACAATAAATAATAATAAATGACATTTAAGTAAATAAATGAGTGGAGGTCACCCAAAAAGGGTGAGATTCCCCAATAATTCTTCTGACAAGGATAGATAATAATAAGCCTTTGAAACATTTGGAAGGATCGTGGGAGAAAGGGTAGATAAATATGTGTTGAAAAGATGAGCTTTGTATGTATATGATAAAGGAAGAATCTTTAGAGAATGTCAATGTCTTCTTTCTTTACAATGAATGTCCCAAAAATCCTCTCTATAACCGCATATCTTTCTATTTATGAGAGTACATGGGCCACAAAATCCTAAACAGTACAGTTGGGAGGAATATTCACTGGAATATTCTTTGGGAAACCATAATCACAAAACTAGGCATTACTACTTTTAATAAAGGGAATGCTCGTCCTCGTATTCATCTTCTGTTGAGCCACCTCGACCTCGTCGACGACATGTTGTTTTCTCATGACATCGATCTTTGGAAGCCAAGTTATTATACCCCGTTGACGACACGTGGCAGCCTTCGAAGGCCTCCTTAATGTAGACTTGGTCCACATATAATTATGGTAATTTTAGCCCATACACTAGTAACACTGGTTAAGACTTGGGAACAAAAGGTAGAAAACTTAAAACAAAAATCGGAAATGTCGAGCCAAGAAAAAGAAAGGGGAAAAGTAGTAGTATATCCAATACGGGGAGTATTTATAAAAGATGACCATTCCTGCTGAGGACTACCAGAAAAGACCCTCGCTTAACAATTCAATCAATGTCGAACGAAGTCCCAGAGAAACAACCGTGCGACACGGCGGAGCATGACCCGACCAGTGTCGCCGTCGACGGCGATGACGACAACAGCGACACATCAAATTCTGCCTTAGCGAAGGGGCTTTCTACTATAATTTCTTCTATAATCCGGGAATTTGATGACAGCGCTGCCGCCACTTCTCGTAGTCAAGATCAGCTCTCATCCACTCTCGATCGTCTCACTGGAGGTACCATTCTTCACCTTCTTCTAAATATAACCGCTGGACTTAATTTTGGCGTTTATTCTTTAAGGTGTATTAGTGTGCCTTTTTATGTGGTAAGAACTGGAGTGGGGATCCATTTACTGTTTACTAGTTTCTCGGCACACGTTCCCATCTCAATAAATGCAATGGTTATTAAAAAAATTACATAAATATAATAATAAAAGTTGTATTGGAGTTATAAAGTAAAAGTTGAAGACAAAAGTATAAGTACAAGAAAATGATGATTGTTGATTCTTATTTAGCCAATCCAATACTATCGGATAAGTCTTCAATCATCTCGATCGATACATTCAACTTAAAATTTGTTCAAGATTTATAATTTCACTATTTCAATTTGACAAGTTACCATTCTTCCTTTTTAGCTTTAGCAAGAACAAATAACCCATAAAGATTTAGGTATTTGTTTGAATTGTCTTAGAAAGCTATCTCTTCTTAAATACTAAAATGATCAGGTAACGACAAAAGATATCTTTGTTTTCCTCACCATTGAAATACACAAAATGAAAATTGTCATATATCTTTAATCTATAAGAAATACTATAAGAATTTTTTTTTGAAGGGAAAAGGTACTCATATTAATAATAATAATAGCAAGCTAGGGTACGTGACCCATTGCATTGTCTTTAGTACAAACGCCTCGAGGGGCTAGAGTTATGCCTTCTAAGGCACTGTCATTGCCTAATGCAGCTAAGTTACTACACACATTCATAGAACACGATCTAACATACATATGGCCATCCTGATCCTTGCAATAGGCATCCATTACAAAGATAGGAGGTAGGACAAAATAACAAGGTTTATTATAACTAGGAGCCATTAGAGCTTCTTTTGCCAACTGTTGTGCTACCATGTTCCCCTCACGAAAGCTATGCTTCATTGTGATCTCCCCTTGCTAGGTTGCCTTCTCCCTTAGACACCTGCATTCATAAATTAAATCATTATAAGTTGTATAATCATCGTGAAGGAAGCGTATGACCTCCGTGGCATCTGTTTCAACTTCAACTGGGAATATGTTTTCCTTGATAATTATTTGAAGTGCATGCCGTAATGCTTGGAGTTCTGCTTGAATAGGGGATGTTGTGGGATACTTCTCGAAGTAGCCCAGTATCCAGTCCCCTTTGTTGTTGCGAATTATTCCACTGATTCCTCCATGGAGGCAGCTGTTGTTGAAGGCTCCATCAAAATTGAGCTTATACCAATTCCTTGGAGGAGCCTGCCACTTAACTTTAAGATTGAATTTAAAATTTTTAGTGGTAGGCCTGGATGTTAGCAGATGGTATTCCAATGCTTGGTTAAGAACTTTGTTCGTGTTAATGTGCTTGCTAGTATTATTCACATTGTTTTCATTTCTGCTTTGCCAGATAGCCCATAATGCGAAGGGGAAAGTTTCTTCCCATGTGATGAATTTATTGGTTTTTTTAGGGTTCCTAGTTTGGAGAAAATCTACCCAGTGTTCCGTGTGCCTTTTTTGAGTGATGGCCACCCCCATGGATTGCCAAAAGGATTGAGCAACCGTACATTCCCAGAAGATGTGGATTGTGGACTCATTTGTGTTTTTATAAATTGGGCATCTAGTGTCGATATTAATACCAATTTTCCCAAGATATTCTCTAGTGGGAAGACGTCTATGGTAGCACTTCCATAGGAAGAACATGATTTTCCTCGGGCACTTGGCACCCCAGATCCAATTGAAATTAGCATTTAGGGAGAGTTGTTTATTAAATAATTTGTAACAAGAAGTGGTGGTGAATACCCCACTAGGGTTTATACTCCAAAGGTTGTTGGCATGTGTAGGGTGAGAAGTTGGGCTTAATGAGTTGATGTTTGTAATAATACTTTGAGGTAGTTCAAACGAGATTTTTGTTAGGTCCCACTTATTTTTATCCCGAATATCTTTGATTTTTAAACAATCCTTATTATAGGTAAGGGGACCAATAATATTATCCCTTAGGTTGGTGAAGTTTGGGATCCAATTAGTGTCCCATACATTCATGTTCGAGTGCTGGTCGACTGGCCACCTAATTCCTTGTTTACAAATAGTCCATCCTTTTTAATAGGCTTTTCCAGGTAGAACAATCACCAGTTCTACTAATATGCCCATATAAACTAATGAGAACATGAGCCCAGAGGGATGACGGATTATTAAGAATTCTCCATGCTAGGCTGACTAGTAGGGCTAAATTTTTAGATTTTGCTTTCTTGATGCCTAGGCCTCCAGCTTCCTTTGTGTTAGTAACCATGTTTCACCCAATTAGGTGAAGTTTTTTCTTGTCTCTAGTAGTGCCCCATAGGAAGTCTCTTTGGATCTTGTCAATTTCCTTTAATGTTTTACTTGGAAGTAGGGATAATTGCATGATTTGGAATAGTGTTGAGAGTACATGCTATTAAAGTGCACCTTTCCGCCATACTTAGCCACTTAGCATTCCAATTGTTTAATCTTGCCCGCATTTTATTAATTACGGGTTGATAGTCCTTATGCCTAGGGTGGTGTTGAAGCATGGGAAAACCTAGGTAAGTACCAAAGGATTTACTAATTTTTATGTCAAAGGTGTTCATGGCCATTGTTATTTCCTCATCAGTACATGACTTTGACACTAATATTTTTTAATTTATCTTTGTTGACATTTAGCCGGAGAGGCAACAAAAACTCTCCATGCTTTTCCACATTGTTGTGATAGTTTTAGTATTTGCTCGACCCATTAAGGTTAGGTCGTCTGCGAAGAACAAGTGTGACAGGGGTGGACATCTTTTATTAAGCTTAATGGGGTCCCAATTTTGAATATCTACTTGGTGTTCGATATTTTTTGATAACATGTCCATGCATAAGCTGAAAAGATAAGGAGACATGGGGTCACCCTGTCGAATGCCCCTTGTGGGAGAAAATTCCTCAGTTTTATTGCCATTTACTAATATGGAGATTGTACTAGTTGTGATACAACTAAGGATTAGGAATGATATATTAGGAGGAAAGTTAAAATATCTCAGAGTTCTCTAAACATAAGACCACTCTAATTTGTCAAAAGCCTTTTCCAGGTCAAGCTTTAGAATGCAGTTTTGCTTTCTTTTATGGGCGTTAAAACGTTTTAACACCTCTTGGATAATGATAGCATTATCACTAGCTCGCCTATCTTTAATAAAGCTTGCTTGTTGATTGTTAATAAGGTGTTTTAGGAAGGGCTTGATGCGATTGGCAATGACTTTGGTGAGAACCTTGTACAAAGTGTTGCATAGGCTGATAGGCCTAAATTTTTTTAATTGATTTGCATAAATGAATTTGGGGATTAAGTATAAGTATGTTTTGTTAACTTCATGAGGCATAACCCTTGTCTCAAAGATTTTTTGGCAAAGATTTATGACCTTACTGCCTAGTATTGGCCAGAATTTCTGGAAGAAAAAAGGGTGTAGACCATCAGGTCCAGGTGCCTTGTTTGGTTTAAAGGAAAAAACTGCTTTTCTAATCTCATGATTTTTTAACTTGCTATCAAGGCTAGACAGGTCAATTTTTGAGAAGGTTGCCTTGTCCAATTTTAAAGTTGACCAGTTAGTTTTCATGAGACGTAGTAAAAATATTTTAGAAGTGATTGGATACATAATTTATTAGGGCAGTTTGGTCCTTTATTCAATTTCCTAAGTTGTCTTTAAAGAAGACAATATTATTTCTCCGTCTAAGGTTAGATCCCCTTCGTTCAACCAATTAACCCTAGAACGTAATTTCCAATAGTCCTCTTCTAATTTAAAGATGGAGTCATAATCCTCAATAAGGGTTACCTCTAAGTCTCTAAGGTACTGACTAGTTTGGTAATTAGGAGAATTTTGAATACCATTAATTCGTTTTAAAATTCTTCTTTTCCTGGCAAAAATATTCCCAAAAGTAATTTGTTTCCATTCTAATACATTTTTTTGAAAAGACTCCCTCCCTTCAATTATATCCTTATTCACCCAACTATCCGACACAACTCTAGGGAAGTCTGGGTGTGAGCACCAGAAGGTTTCTAGTCTAAACGGCCTAGCATGGTTATTATTGATTTTATTGTTAAGGTTAACTAAGATAGGGTTATGGTCCGAGTGTAATTTTTGGAGATGCGTTACGGTAACATTTGTAAACGCTTGTAACCATTCACAATTGGAGTATACTGATCACGCCCAATTATGCCTTATAAAAAGGACTAAGCGGTCGCTGCAAATATAATCCGGTTTACAAGTCCGGAGTCGAATCCCACAGAGAACTAAGGTTTAGCTACAGCTGTTCACTATCACCAAGAAGACAAGCTTGAACAATTCCTAACCTATAGATATTAAGATTCTTGTGTTTAACTACTTAACTAACAAATTAAAATAGTAAATTAACAACTAACGATACTGAGGGTTAGAGAAAAGATTAAGGAGGTCTAGAGTTATGATTTCCCCAATTGTCGGAATCCTTCCTGCTATGTCTTCTATAATTTTGCCTAAGTATTCTCTACCGATCATGAGCACTCTTATTACCGTAAATCTCTCCCGAGTAATTACGACAATTTACTAGACGCACTCTCCCGAGCTACGCTAGCTGGCTTTTAATACATCTCACTTCAGATTGCACCCAAGGCTTCGTTATCCCTAATCCCGCCTTTAAACCCTCGATTGATCCCTCATATACTCTGGGAGTGGTGTTGTTCAACAATTACCTAACTATGCACTCTCTCCCGAGTTATGCATACTAAATAGGCACAGCTAATTGAGAGCTCTTCAATCAACCACAATATAAACGTAGTTGAACAAATAGAGAAAAGCTATGGCTCAATTATATAAAAACATAACAAGAATTTATCCTACAAAAGGTTCTATCAAAACTCTAGATAACAAATTAGCTATTCATAATAGTATGTAAAACTACAATACTAAAAGTCATAACCAACAATGAGAAATAGGAAGAGGAAGGAAAAACTTGTAGAAGAATTCTCCGCCTTGCTCCCAATGTGTTCTTG